TTTTGCATGTTATCAACCATACGCACGCCTGGTTTTAACAAATGCTCTAGAGATTTTGCCACGATCTCATAAGAGCGGCCCCACTCCACATTTGTATAGGTGTTTTTATCAATTGCATCTGCAATGAATATACAATTCACAACGACTATGAAAACATTAAGAGCTTTCGCTCAGCCTCCATTTAATGCATTCTAGCACTTTCTCAAGCCATAAGAAGGGACAGATAATTTAGTGCTAGCAGAACTAATAAGTGACTTGTTTTTACTCATTGAACTTTTTTTATGGGATCTCCAATCACAAAGGCTGAATTGCCGTTACCGTTAATTTCAAATATACTTAAGTCTCATTTCCCTTGGCATTTCAATAATAAATTTCTCCCCTAGGGGCTTAGTTAATAGATCTGCTAGATTTAACTCTAATCTTATATAATCAATTAAGATGACCCCATCTTTGAGTAACTGTCTTATAATATTATGTCTTAATCGCATATATCTACTTGTGCCATTAAAGGTCTTATTTTTAGCCATTGCTATTGCAGACTGACTATCACAATGTAAAGACACTAATGGTGTGGGCTTTTTATCTATTGGAATGCTCACTAAGAAGTTTTTCAATCATTCAGCCTTAGTTCTAGCTAGCTCCATATCAATAAATTCAGAATCCTGTGAGGATTTTGTATTGATTGTTTGTTTTGAAGACTTCCATGTTATTGTGCCATTACCAAGAATGAATATATAACTACTAATAGACTTTGTCTCTTCTAAATTCGAGATCTAGTTAGCATTATTGCATCCTTCCAATACAGCATGAAATCCACTATACAATATACATTAATTCATGGTATCTCTCAAATATGTCAAGACTCTCATCGGAGACTCCTAGTGTTTATTGCCTAGATAGTGGGTATATTTGCTCAATCTACCTATAGCATAAGCTATTTCAGGCTTGCTGAAATTCATCAAATGCAATAAACTTTCAATGATCTATACATACGCAAATTGAGCAATTGGGTCACCTTTGTGCTTTTTTAAGCACAAAGTGAAATCATAAGGAGTACTCAGAGAAGTATCTTTCAGGTGTCCAAACTTTTTGAGAATTTTCTCAACATAATATTTTTGGGAAAGTAAAATCCCATTATCGTTCTTTATGATCTTCACACCCAGGATCACCTTGGCTTAACCCATATCTTTTATATCAAAATTTGAAGAAAGAAAATTTTTAGTTTCATTGACAACATACATACTGGAGCTAAAAATTAGCATGTTATTCGCATATAAGTTCACAAGTTTTGTATAAACACATCTTTCTATTCAATAGTAGAAAATCCACCATTTGTCAAAGTTGATCAAGTTTTTCATGTCGTTGCTTAGGTGCTTGTTTTAAGCTATACAAAGATTTAACAAGTTTACAAACTTTATTTTCTTGCTTAAGAATCACATGTCCCTTAAGATGCACCATATAAATCTCTTCTCCTAAATTACTATTCAAAAATGCTATTTTAAAATCTATTTGGTGAACAAAAAGCTTATAAATTGAACCAAAGTAATAAGAATTCTCATAGAAAAAATTCTAGTCACAGGAGAAAAGGTGTCAAAATAATTAATATTTTCCTTTTGCATAAAACCCTTGGTCACAAGCTTTGCTTTATATTTATCAATTGTACCATCCGAAAAATATTTTTTCCTAAAAATTCATTTACACCTAATAACCTTTGCTTCTTGAGGTAAATTTGCTAAAATCTAAGTTTTATCTTTCCTTAGGAAATCAATTTCAATTTCAATTGTTTTTTTTCCAAACTTAGCATCAGAAGAAGAAATAGCTTCATAAAAATTAATTGGTTTATCTTGCACTAAATATGTATAAAAATCATCTCCAAAACTTATTTCTTTTCTTTGTCTTTTACTTCTTCTTAAAACTAAATTCCCATTCGAATTTTGTTCAAACTCAACATTCTCAATGGGTTTAGAAACATGCTCAATTTTCAAGAAAAAAATATGTTAAAAAAATTTAGCGTCTTTAGTCTTAACAAATGTGTTTTGGTCTAAAACATAACTTTTCAAAACCAAGAAACGATAAGCTATACATGGTTTAGCATATTCAATAAACATGTAATCAAAAGTTTTAGAATTAATTTTTCTCTTTTTAGGATCAGACAATAAAATTTTTACAAGACACCCCCACACTTGCAAATATTTTAAATTTGAGATAAACTCTTTCCACAATTCATAAGGCATTTTCTTTGTTTTCTCATGAGGTATCCTGTTTTGTAAAAAATATGCAAATGAAATAGCTTCATCTCATAAGTTATTAGGTGTAGAAGAACTCACAAATAAAGCATTCATTATCTCTTTAAATGTTTATTTTTTCTTTCGATAACACCATTAGATTTTAGAGAATAAGGAGGTGTTTTCTTTTGAATAATACCTTTTTTTCACAAAAATCATTTAAAAAAACATATTCTCTACCTCTATCATATCTGACTCTCTTAATCTTTTTATTTAACTGATTCTCAACTTCTGCTTTATACAAAATTTTTTTTCAAAAGCCACATCTTTATTTTTTAATAAGTATACCTTCATATATCTTGAAAAATCATTAATAAAAGTGATATAATATTTTTTACCACCTCTAGTCATGATTTGTTTCAAATCATCTAAATCAGTGTAAATTAAAAATAGTAATTCAAATTCTCTTTGACAAGAAAAATGAAGTTTCTTTACTTTGTTTAGTTTCAGCACACACTTCACATTTTCCAAAATTGTTTTTAATTTCAAAAAGAAGTTTGAGTTGCTATATCCTATTTATATAACCTTTACTAACATGACCTAGTCTAGCATGCCACAAATCAAAAGAATCAACCATATAAATAAGCATATAATCAAGAGATGCAATATTATTCATTTCATCAACATTCAAAATAAACAGTTTCTGATTACAATATCTTTTTTCAATAAATATATTATTTTTATCATTACAATCTTGTCATATTCAAATGACACTTTAACCTCAACTTTTTTTGACAGAGCAATTGAAACTAAGTTTGCTCTAACTTCAGGCACATGTAAAACATCACTCAAAGGCAAAGTCTTCCCTGATGTGAGCTTTAAGACCACTTTTCCTGTTCCTTAAACTTTAGCAGTTCAGGAATCAGCAAGGTAAACACGGTCTTCTCCTTCCTTTATAGGATCATAGGAGGTAAACATCTCCCGATTAGCATATATGTGCCTGGTAGCCCCAGAGTCTACCACCCATTTCTTCACATCAGAAATTAAGAGAGCTTGAGACACCACTGCAGCAATGATGTCATCATAATTGTCATCATCTCGTTGTGCCAAATTTACATTTGGCTTTTGAGCTTTATCATGATTTTCTCTCTTCTTACGCTGTGCTGCATAGTGTCCTAGTTTATCATAAATAAAGCAATCTCCTTTTTTCTTGAAAGAGGGGTTAGAAGCATTAGGTTTATAATCAAAATTCCTATTCTTTTTGTTATCTTTGGTTTTAGGGTCATACTTCTTGTTGTGAGGCTTTGTCTTCACCAAATTGGCTTTAGATGTCATTTCTCTAATTCAAGTTGGCACTACCTTACGGTTGGTGTCTTTGATTATGATGTAAGTGATCAGGTTAGTCAAGGACAATTGCTTTTTGTTTGTGTTTCAGCTGTTACTAGCAGCTTCTTAATAAGAATTCTAGCAATAAACTCATTTGGGAGGTTGATATTCTTTGCACAAAGCTCCTCCAGCAGTTGTGATACTTATTAATATGCTCCTTCACATCTTTGTTCTCAGTCATCTCCCATCTATAGTGATTTTCCATAATGAACTTTTACTTGCCAACATCCTCAGTAGTGTATTTTGTCATCAGGGACTCCTATATCTTACAAGCTTCCTTGTAGATGTAGTAGACATTGAACAAATTACTAGATAAAATACTAATGATAATGTATTAACATACCTTGTTTGCATGAGTCCATACAATCCTAAAACCTTGTTCTTGCTAGCGTTTGAAATTCTTGTTGTCAAAGACTTCTATCTTTGAAATATCTGAGAATGGCCTTGGCAGGGAATGACAACTGCAAGAGGGGTGAATTGATCTCTACCAAAAGTAATGAGGGCATCTTGGGGAATAGCATTCTCATTATTAGATGCCATATTAATTCTTAAGATTGTTGGCGACAGATAGGAAAGTAAAAGTTGCTTGAGTCGTATCAAAGGATACTGTCCTTAAGAACTATTCTGACACACTTGGATGATGGACTGACTGTTCAAGCATGTCCTGCGCAAGTAAGGCAACAGCACAGTCAAGGTAGAAGAGGAATAAAGTGGCTCAAAAACTCAAGAGCTTGGCAAATGGTTCTGTCTGCATGCATGCCTATATATAGGTCGATATCCTGGATGAATGTTGGAGCAAAAATCACTGGATTAATTCCCCATTAAACCTTGGTTGCAAGTATAAATCCATTTAAGAAATGGTTTAAAACCCAAAAATAGCCAATAAGCTCATATAAATAAATGATTATTTTTTTGCACAAATAATTCAATAAAAGAACCCAATGCTTGTTTAACTCGCACGCAGGGGGCGGATTGACTGTTTTCAATTGTGATTTCCTTGAGTTGGCCTGTTTCGTGCGCGCGAGTCCACTTGTTTTCCAAACCCGTTTTACCAACCTATTTCATTTCTTAATATTTATGCACTAGGAGTTTTCTTCATATGGGCAATGTGAGACACAATTACTACAACAAGACCAACAATAGGGCCTCATATGAATAAAAAGTGCCAATATAATAAAAATCTTCAACAACAAAGCTTCATACCCAAACATGTTGGAAAAGTGAGTATAGAGAATATTGCTTATTTGTAATTTGTAATAAAAGCTGTCCTTGTAATTAATGATAATTTGGCCAATTAATAAACAAAATCTAATATTCTTTAAATGTGAGGGTTTGAAACTTTGAATGTTATAAATATGAAAATATATCAAGAGAATTAATTGAGAATGCTTAAAATCTAACTTGATAATATTAAATAATATATCAAACATAAACGTATAAAATCTAATTGCTTGTATCCTAACAAACAATACATTACTTTCATACTAGTGCTTGCTACATGGCTTATAAAATTTATATAACTACAAAGCCTAGCTAGCTTACTGATATACATTGGTCGAGTGATTTCTCAAGATATATTAGTAACCTAGCTTACTGATATATATATTGAGAAATCACTTAGAAATCATAGCTACGAATTCAGCAATATTTTTATCTGAACTTCCCTCCTCATCCATAGAACTCTTGAACAAATTCATCCATTTGATGGCTTTATTCTTCATCTCTTTTCCTCTTTCACTCTCCATTACTTCTTTGATACAATGTTTCAACGTTTCTCGTTTAAGAATTCCTTTCTCATCCATGGAAGCTCTTAGACCCACTTTCCAAACATCCACAATATACTTCAAATTTGTAGGCTGATCACTCCAATGTGGAACCCCAATCATTGGAACTCCTAAGCTCAGAGCTTCCAAAATCGAATTCCACCCACAGTGTGTAACAAAACATCCGACAGCTTCGTGTGACAGTACTGTTAGTTGATCACACCACGCCACTATCAAACCTTTGTCTGAAACTATTTCTTGGATGTTCTTAGGAAGCTTGGCCTGTTCAGATTCCCTAACAACCCACAAGAAATAATTCCCAGTGAGTCTCAAACCCCAAGCTATTTCCTCTATTTGATCTTCTCTAAGAGTTGTTATGCTTCCAAAGGAGACATAAACTACGGATGCTTGAGGCTTATTGTGGAGCCAGTTCATGGAAAGATCCTTGTTAGGTTGGAACATGCTGATACCATAGTCGTGGTCGTGTTGGATCCTTTTGTCTAAGAACATGGATGGTACTGTTGGTCCTATTGTCTTCACTGGCCACATCTTCCTCATCCAATCCACAACCTGGTAATTAAGGAAAGCTTTCACTTGTCAATTTTCTGTAACACAGTAGACAAGTGGCCGACACATGAAGCTATATTATTTATTATTGATGGGAAAGAGGCGCACTTGATAAAATCAAACATTTTAAATATTGTTTATTGAGAATATATGATGATAATATCTACATTATGGATATATAAGGATCATCCAGGGACCGACCCCACGTAGGCCTGCGGAACTAAGAAAAGGGACAAATTATAATCTCCCCGGCAAACATAGTACGTACACATACACACCCTGATACACAATTTACATTATCATTGTCACCCCCTTCTTTAAAATTTGCAACTTTCGCATGTGCAAATATTGTTTGCCTAATAACGCGAGTATTTGAAAATTATAATTATAAAAGGATAAAAGGACAACATTAATACACTTAAAATATTATAAGTGCATGAGTATATGGAACTTTAATTTTTTTTTTGGGTGTAATTTTTCTTCCCAATATTTTAAAAAGTCGTAATATGCAATGTCTAACATTTTCTCTTGTATAACTTGACCATCAACATCAATATAATAATTAATGGAACGGGGCACATTGCGACATTTTTAAATGTAAAAGGACAAGATTAAAAAAAAAAAAGTTTTGGATCCCAGATTTTTCTGTTCCTGTAGTTTACAGGTAATTTTACCCTTCTAACCATTATAATAAATATCTTCAGTACAAAAATGATCATATTTGTCATGATATTATATACTTAATTATTCTTTTATTATTTCATTTAAATTTTCATTACTCCCTCCATTAAAAAATGTAAGGCATTTTTAATCAAATCTCTCTTTTCACTAAAGTAGTTATCTACTTTTAAATTAACTCTATCTTTTTATATTTATCCCTATTAAATACTTTATAATACATATAAAGTCATTATCAATAGGGACACTTTTGAAAAAAAAGTAATGATTATACTTCAAAAAATTAAAAATGCTTTACAGTTTTGAACATTTAACTTTTCAAAAAATATCTTATATTTTTAAACGGAGTGAGTATTATTTTATTTATAAATGAATATGTAAAATAGTAATATCTATTGGGATGAGTTTTCTTGCTCATCTGTGAGATGAGATTTGGATCATTTAAATTATGGTCCAGATTTAAAGAATTATTTTATATTATATTTATTAAAATAAAAATTTATAAAAATTATAAAATAATTTTAATAAATTTTTTATTTTTAATATGGTCTAGATTTAATTTAGAGGGTACAATTCAATATTAAAATTTTTATAATTGATGTATATTGATTATTCAGATGTACTTTGCACAGTTCAGATTATTAAATTCATCTGGACTATGTAGAGTACATCTGAATAATCAATATACATCAATTATAAAAATTTTAATATTAAATTAGACCCTCTACATTAAATCTAGATCAGATTAAAAATAAAAATTTTATAATATTTATAAATTTTTACTTTAATAAATATAATACAAAAATATATAATAATATTTTAAATTTGGACCGTTTAGATTAAGATTTGGACGGTCTGTATCTCATTCCAAGAATTAGCACATGGTGTAGGAAACTGATCCCATAACAATTGAACTCCCTCCTCCAAAAAAAAAAAAAAAAACAAACAAACAAAGTAAAGCAAAAACAAAATTCCGATTCCGCCGCCCAGGAGGCATCCAGAAAAATGTGTGGATAGAGTTTAGCTTGCAAAGCGAAGATCTATCTCTAAGACTACCATTTATTACCAAGCATACAACACACAAAAATACGTACCTCAGGCTCCAGTTCATAAACAGTGTTGGAAAGCAAGCAATCAGCTTTTCCAATGTTGTCAAAAGGTTCAACCAGCAAGTCCCAAAAGATCGGAAACATGCCATAGTGCAGGTACAAGAACGATGGCAAATCCGAAGGCTCAAGTTCTGGCAAACCAGGAAGCAAAATCTTACTCTCTTCAATAACGGGAAGTTTCAGAATCCCTTGATGAAGATGGAAGTAAACACTATTAACAAAACAAGGTTGGGTCAAGAACGCAGCACCAAATATCCCAAACTTCTTCGCCACATCAAGTGCCCAAGGAAGGAAACTATCATAAATAACACAGTCCACAGGCAAACCATTGTTGAAAAGCTTGTCAAGAAGCTCAGACAGAGTCGGTGGTCCTGCTTGCCAGAACCGTTCTGAGTAAGTCTTTGAGTTCTTAACATCTGGATCGGCTCCTTCGTCGTACCCATCTGAGATGGTCTCGAGAGCTATGGAATCTGCAGATTTAATGGAGTCATCAGTGATAGTGGCTTGTTTCCAGAAAGAACGAGTGGTGACGAATGTGACTTTCACGTTATGGAACTCTAATCGCTTGCAGAATTGAAGCATTGGGTTGATATGGCCTTGTGAAGGATAAGCCAATAGAAGGCAGTGAGCTTTCCATTGTTTCGCCGCCATTATTGATGCTTAAGAATGTACAATTTCTTAGTATGGTTTTGAGTTTGAAGGTAAGAGTCACTTTTATTTATATAATTGGATCACATATGGATGAGGAGGTGCGAAATATCAACCTTGCAGTGTTTCAGATTTGTTGGACAAAGTACCACTATCATTTTGGTTTTGGTGCATGCACCTTGCAGAGTTACAGTGATGAGCACCATGCTTGATGAAATCAGGACCATCTAAAATTAATTCCAAGACTATTTTGTAATGACAGTAACAAGATTATTTTTTTTGAAAAAAAAATTCTGTACTTATTGAAATGATAATTTATTCAAAATATAAAAACAATTTATCAAACGCAGACCGCGTCCAAATTAAACTTGGACGATCATATTGGTGTTCATCGCACCAAACTGGGTCTCACTATCATATATATGATGGTTAAAGGTTTCTTTTCTTGGAAAAATGGCAATTACGGACTCCATAAAAAACATTAATAATAACTATAAACCTTAAATTAATATCAATAATAGATCATTATTGTTGCTTATAATAAATTATTTTTTATTGATTGGCTTGAAATTCAAAATGAACTTTAGTAAATTTCTAACTAGCGTTACAAAAATTTTCAAATATTTTTTGTTGATTTCCTAAGCAATAACAAAAAATCATGAGTGATTAGCTTTCTATTCATGAATGACTTTTGTAAATTTTTAACTGATGTTACAAACAATATCAAATGTATTTAGTAAATTTTTAAATGATTTATCTATATATTGAAAGAAAAAAATCATAAGTAATTAACTTTCAATTTATAGTTAATTTTTATAAATTTTCAACTAATGTTACGAATAATCTCAAATATATGTATTTAATTTTTTAAGTGATTTATCTATATATTGATAGCAAAAAATTCAGATTCTCAATTAACTCTCATAAATTTTTATCTAATGTTAAAAATAGTCTTTAGTGTAGTTAGTAAATTTTTCAACTAAATATTTACTTTTTTTTAATTGCAAGTAAGAATGTTGTTTTTTATTAAGATTTTAATAATTTAAGGTCCTGTAATTATTATTAATGTTCTTACATAATCTTTAATAGTTATTTTTCCTCTTATTTTCTTTCTCTTTCTCCCTCTTTTCTTTTTTTTTTTATTGAAATATTCATATTTAAAAATAAATAACATTGCTGACAGACAAAATTTAATTGACTTGCAGCTACTAAAAAAATTACAAGAATTAATCCTAAAACATGTTAAAATTACAGATATTTTGTCTTAGATCCTTTGATATAAGATGAAACTCCCATAATATAAAATTTTGTTTAAAATTAAAACTTTGGTCCTTTATTATAATGTAAAATATTTTATTTCTAAATTGTGATCGAATTAAATATCGGTCTCAAAGTGTTATTTCTCTTGTGTAGTATACATTTTCTACTTTACATGGAATATTTGGTGGAATATCTCAATCAGGCTTACACTTTTAGGCTAATAGGTTTTGCTACTCAATTAGTCAATTTGTACACGGCAATGGCTTTTTATATGAGCAATTGTTTTCAGATTTAATGGTTCATTGGTTGATTTGGCTTCTGATATATGGGACCAAACAACAGTGACAAATACAGGGAACCTCTTTCTCAACGATGTAACGCTTAATTTATTATTATCATGTGAATTTTCCACAATCACGTTACGTGGCATTTGGATCTTAATAGCTAGTTCAATCAAAGAGTAATAAAGGAATGTATAATGATGGAACTTTTAAATTTTATATGCATTGTTGGTTAATTAGTAGGGTTCCACAACGTGCCAAAATGTCCAATTAGCTCAACTTTGCTTGAGGCATTCAGGCACATCAAGTCAGGTTTTATCCAAGGCATTGTGTAGAGATCAAACCTTATCTTGCTTGGCCTGAACATGTGCCATTTTTTGTTTTTATAAAAATTTTTGTGAATAATACTTATTTTATAATATTATTTTTTGTTGACAGTTATTATAAAATATATTATTTTTATGATTTTTTGGACATTTTTAAAAATAATTTTTAAAATTTCTTTCGAAATTCAAAATTTGTTTTTAAGTTAATATTATAAAAAAATAATTGACAATTGATTGTTCATCTGTACTTTTTTAAAAAAATTGCTTTTAATTCTAACATTAATTTTATGAAAAATATATTTTAAATGATGATGATAATATTTTTTTCTTAAAAAACCTTTTTATATATTTTTTAAAAAATACTTATAAAAAAATTTTCAGGTTGACCGGACTAAATCCGACCCCATGCTTGGGCCCAAATTATACATAGAGTTGAGCACTAAGGGGGGCATCGGTTGGGGTGATGCCCGGTAAAATTAACCCAATTGACTGCCTATAACTTTGTTTAGTATATTTTGTAAATTTTGTTGTGATTGCTGGGATCTAGAATCTTCGATATTGTAAATGTGTTTATTAGATTAATTTCTTTTATAATCATGGTAACTTTTATGAAATTGAATAGTTTAATCTTTGATATACCATGCATGTTAAGTATTTTTATTGTTTTTAATAATTTTTATTGTTATGATATTTGTTTAAGTTCTTAGGTTGTAACGTCAAGTGATTACAAAAAGGTGAAACCGAGAAAGGCACCGAAGATGTAAAGAAAATGAAAGGGTTGATCAAGTGATTGAAATTTTAAATAATGATGAGTAATGACCAGATGGATTTTGAAATAGTAAATATATTATAAGAAGAAATAAATTTGAATTAAATTTATGAATAAATTCATAAATTTTTTATTTAGAAAGAGATTTAATTAAAATTCAAATTCTAAGAATCCAAACGTAACACAAGGATTTGGGTCGGAAGCTTAAAATATATATATATATATATATATATTGTTTTTATTAGGCAACGAAATGAATGAAAATATGCTCTTACTTGAAAGGCAACTTTATTTAACGTGAACAAACCTTAATTAGAAAAGAGAATTATTTGCTGGAAAGCTCCTAATTAATACTACCAAAAAAAATTATTTTATTAAAATAATAAAAAAAAAATTATATTTCCTCGTTTCTTCTACAGGGAAGATGCATGGCGAGGACAATAGCCACGTGGTTTCACCAGATACAAGACAAGAGATCAGTTCATGTTTGGAGAAGTTCCAAAAAGTTAAAATTCAACAAGATACTAAATCTTATTGCTGGCTTGTCGCACTGACCAAATTATATATAGAATTTGAAGTTGATTTTGATTTGATTGACATTTATTGATCTTTGTTCAATGATTATATAAATTTTGATATATATCCATTATATAATAAACTAACAGTCACTCCCCATAAATTCTTTTTATTGACTATCATACAAGCATATGCTTTCCATGCATTCAGAAGCAAGTGTTATGGACTTACCATGTTAATGAATATGAAAGAATTAAAATAAAAAATAAAATTATTTAAATATAAAAAAGGGAAATTTAAAAAATTTATCAATAAAAGAAATAGATGACAAAAAAGCTAGGGAGGATGACACTAAAATACCTCCTAATTAGGTAAATGACAATAAAATATCATGAAATATAGTAATTATTGGAAAAAAATGATAATTAAGTTTCAAAATACTAGATTAATGATAGCTAAGCCTTCAATAAAATTTTTTACAAAATAAATTTTAAATACTAATTTAAATGGTTATAAAAAAATTTTTTTATTATAATTTAAAAATTATATTTAATATTTAAATAATTATTTATAATTAAAATTTTTAAATTTATAATTATCTATATCTATTTTCAATTAGCTTTTTAAAAAAACTATCAAAAACCTAACTATCAGGAGACCTAATTGTGATTCTTCTTAATTTTTATGAATTCTCCAAAGACTTGTTTGATATTGTATCATCGTGCAAAATGACTTTTTTAAACCTCTGGACAATGAACAGTGAAAAGGCAGTGATTGTTGACACTTGACACGCGGCGGCTTGATTGTGGAAATCTGCACCTCTGCATTCCTCCTCATTCCCTCAAAAACACAATGTTTTTGACAAATGATACACATTAAAACCCAAAATTTTATAACTTCTTAGGAATACAATTTTTTTGAAATTTTAAATTTAAATATATAACCATGTTAAATATCAAAGTGATATAAAACGGGAAGAGCAACAGAGAGAAAAGAAGGAGGGAGAGAAAGAAGGAAAAAAAAAGATCAAAATTTTTAAAAATTTTTTATTCAATAATACTTAAAAGCTGAATATAAATGAAAAATCTAACTTCATTTATAGAGCTCTAAAAGAAATAAAATAATAAAAATTTAAATTGAATTCTTAAATTATAAATCTAAATCTAATCTTAAAAATATTAATATCGCAGATAACAATAAAATAAATAATAAATCTTAATTCTAATAGATAAAATCCTTATTCAAATATCTCTTATAGATAATCTTAATATTTTACATAAATCTTAAGTATCTTAATTGATCATCATACCATATTCCATCACAAATTCATTAGCCTGACTATATATAAATAAATAATAAAAATAACTATAATATTTTAGATAATTAAAATATTTTAAAAGTAAATATTACCAATAAATAGAATTTTTTTAAATAAGATAGAAAATATTTCTAAAAAATAAATGATCAAAGTAATAAAATTTAATCTTTAAAATAGTTTAAAAATGAAAATTTACATTAGTATAACTATATATAAATCCATAATAAATCAATGATGTCAAATAATACCTACTATTTATGAACTTTAGTGTAAACATTTAGATTAGTTTTAAGAGTAAAATACTCTGAGCTTCTTATTCTCCCATCTATTTAATAAAGAATTTAGATCAAAATACCCCTCTTTCAATATTTTCTAAAATTCATTCAAATTACCCAACAAAAATAATGTATATATTTTTTAATTTTTTATATTTTAAAATTTTCAATCTTGTACATTAGTTGGCTGAAATAACATTCTGACACAAATTTAAGAAAATTTATAAAATAATAAATAAATATAATAAATTACTCTTTTACCAAAAGAATAAATTACTCAATG